ATGTTTTACTGCATATTTCGATGATTTGGAGCATTTAGAACACTTTTCAAACAAATCTTACTTTTTAGCTAAAATACATGGATTTTCACACTTGAAATATGTATTGACACAATACTACACTAAAATGTCATATTTAAGTTACTTTCAGCATAAAATTCAATTCCATCAGTAATTCTGATTAAAAGTTTGAAAATCCACGAATTTTAGCTAAAAAATCAGGTTTTTCTGAGACACGTTCTAAATGCTCCAAATCGTCGAAATATGCAGTAAAACATCATTTTTGCACATTTTTCCAATTTTTTCAATGCTTCAGGTATTTTTAAAAAATATATGAAATATTCAAAATTATTTCTGAATTTTATCGAAATTTTATGGGCTCTTTGAAAAATATGGTATATACTTTAAAATGTTGAAAAATGCTCGAAAATTATATTTTTTGGCATATTTCGACGATTTGAGGCTTTTCCAAGCATTTCTTGACGATTTAGTTCATTTAGAACGTTTTTCTGACAAACCTTATTTTTTAGCTAAAATACATGGGTTTTCACACTTTTTCATCAGATTCACTGCTACAATTGAATTTTATGCTAAAAGTAAGCTAAAATATATTTTTGTGAAGTATTTTGTTAAAACATATTTTAACTAAAAAAAAAAAAAGCTTTTCAAGAAATGCTTGAAACAGCCTCGAATCGTCGAAATATTCCAAAAAAATATTATTTTCGAACATTTTTGAACATTTTAAAGTATATTGCATATTTTTAAAAAATCCCACAAAAATTCTATTATATTCAAAAATGATTTTGAATATTTCATGTATTTTTTTCAAAATACTTGAATCATTGAAAAAATTGGAAAAATATGCATATTTCGACGATTTGAAGCATTTAGAACACTTTTTAGAGAAAATTTATTTTTCACTAAATATTCATGTGTTTTCAAACTTTTTAATCAGAATTACTGATGCAATTGAATTTTATGCTAAAAGTAAGTTAAATATGAAATTTTAGTGAAGTACTTTGTCAATACATACTTCAAGTGTGAAAATCCATGTATTTTAGCTAGAAAATAATGTTTGTCTGAAAAGTGTTCTAAATGCTCTAAATCGTCGAAATATGCCGCGAAACATCATTTTAGCATATTTTTCCAATTTTTTCAATGATTCAAGTATTTTTTTAAAAAATACATGAAATATTCAAAATTATTTTTGTATATAATGGAATTTTTGTGAGATTTTTTAAAAATATGTAATATACTTTAAAATGTTGAAAAATGTTCGAAAATAATATTTTTTGGAATATTTCGACGATTCGAGGCTGTTTCAAGCATTTCTTGAAAAACTTTTTTTTTTTTTTAGTTAAAATATGTTTTAACAAAATACTTCACAAAAATATATTTTAGCTTACTTTTAGCATAAAATTCAATTGTAGCAGTGAATCTGATGAAAAAGTGTGAAAACCCATGTATTTTAGCTAAAAAATAATGTTTGTCTGAAAAATGTTCTAAATCATCCAAATCGTCAAGAAATGCTTGGAAAAGCCTGGAATTGTTGAAATTTGCCAAAAATATCATTTACGAGTGTATTTCAATTTTTTTTTTTTTTTTTTTTTTTTCAAAAAATTTTGCAACATAGAATGACAGTTTCAGAAAGGGGCTTGTGACAGTCAAAAGGTTAATACCACTCCTCTCATCCAGCCCATGGACCAGCAGATCATTTCAAACTTCAAAAAACTGTACACCAAATCAATGTTTTGATGTGACCTCAGACACTCACTTGACCCTAAGAGAGTTTTGGAAAGACCACTTCACTATCCTCCACTGTATAAACCTTATGGGTAAGGCTTGGGAGGGAGTGACTTCCAGGACTTTCAACTCTGCTTGGAGAAAATTGTGGCCAGAATGTATCCAAGAGAGGGATTTTGAAGGATTTGGGGCTGACCACTGAAGAGCTGCATGAAATATACATTTACCTACACAGAAAACAATGAGACATGCAGAATAAAACAATAAAATGACACCTTCATTGAAGACTTGTTGATGAGTGATGAGATGGGAGGAGGGGAAAGGATGGAGGGGTACTATTGTTTGGAAGGGGAATCCACCTCCATAATGCCTTCAGGTACCAAGTCCTTTTCTGGGGTTACTTCCCTTCTTTGTTTTTTAATGCCACTAGGACCAGCTTAAGCATCACTAAACCCCTGTCGCTCAAAGAGTGTTTCAGTTTGGTCTGTATCTGGCATTTCTTAAATCTTCCCTAAAATGGGACACAACATTGTCGTTGTACATGTTGCCAACACGGCCTGCAACAGCTTTGTTAGGTTGATGTTCATCCTTAAATGTTTGAACCTCACTCCACTTTCCACAAATGTCCTTCATCTTTGAAGAAGGCACCTTCCTCCATCTCTCCTCCTCCTCCTCTGAAGCAATTTCCTGAGCTGTGGTCTGTTGCTGTTGCAGACAAAGGCCTTGCAGCTCTTCAGTGATGCTGAACATGAGAGGGGCCCCTCTCTACCCAATAAGATACTTCCTCATGTGATAAGCCTGTCTACAAACCAAAATCTGTTACAGTAGATCTTTGTTTGGCATCATCTCTGTCTGTGTCTGGAATAGCTTGGACTTGGCCTACCTTACCTGGTGTGAGCTGAAAATTCTGAGTATCCACATTATTTTCTTGTGGCCCTTTAGTCTCACTGTCCAGTAAGTGACTCTTGAATTGGTTTTATACAGTGGAACCTCAAATATCGAACTTAATCTGTTCCAGGAGTTAGTTCTAAATTCGAAAAGTCTGAAAAGCGAAGCAATATTTCCCATAAGAAATAATGGAAATACAATTAATCCATTCCAGAAACCCCAAAAATATTCACAAAAAAATACATTTTATAGAGATTAATTATAGTTTTACATACAACAAATATAGTGTTCAATTATGTATTAATAGATTTAAATAAACATATAAAATAACATTTTACTTACTTTTATTGAAGATTGGTGATGGCATCTGGAAGATAGGGAGGAGGAGAGAGGGAGTTGGGGTTAGTGTTTGGAAGGGGAATCCCCCTCCATGAGGGCTTCAGGTATCAAAGCCCTCTCTGGGGTTACTTCCCTTCTCTGTCTTTTAATGCCACTAGGACCAGCTTGAGTCACTGGACCCCTGTCTCACAAAATAACTGTACACAGTCCTCTGTTTCTGGTGCCTCTTTAAGATTTCCCAAAAATGGGACATGGTTCTGTCACTGAACTTGTTGCAAAGATGGCTTGTTTCAGCTTGCTCAGGGTGGTACTTCTCCACAAACATTTGGACATCATTCTACTTGGACATCATTCTACTTCTGTATTATTTCCTTCTTCACATCTATGGTGTTTCTCACTTTCTTTACCACAGGGGTACAACTAGCAAGTTTCTTTGGGCCCATTGTAGCTTATTTCACAGTCCCACAAGCACTAAACATAATGAAATAATCGTAAAATGTTTGAATGAGAGCGCAGGTTAGTGTTCACTCAAGCATCAACAAAACCAGACTGGCTCATCATGCCTGTGTGGGGATGCAGACTGAACGGGCTGCTGGACAGGTCCGGTACCCAGCGGTTCGAAAATAGAGGTGAGTTCGATAATAGGGACAAAGTTGGTTCAAAAAAAGGGTTCTATTTTCGAAGAGTTTGATAAGCGATATGTTCGAAATTTGAGGTTCCACTGTATTTTCATTTTGAGCTGGCATTATGGCTGCTTTCTCATAATCAGCTTGCTGTTCTGCATCCTGCTTTGCTGTTTCTGTTTCAAGGAGATTTTCTTCTGGTTGAATGCTAGTAGTTGGCTGGATAGCTCCACTACACTGATTTCCTTCTGTTAGTATCAATGTATCTGCTTCACCGCTGGCACTTGTTGCTTCTGTCAGTGGCTGATGCAAGAAAGCAGTGACTGATTTTAACTTCTTTATCATATCATTTTCAAGTCTTTCTTTCTTGTGCTTGCTAGCACTACTTTCAAAATCTTTTACTCATGCTCAGATTAGAATCTGAAAAAATTGAAATTAATCTACAACAATTATTAGAAAGGAAAACATGAAGGGGCATTCTCACAAAATGGGGTTCACTTCAGTGAAGAAAAAATAAAAAAATGAACTTATTTCTGTATAATATTTGGGCAATATTTTTCTTAAGGAATTGTTCCTTATTGGCAATTATATTGCAAAATCTGAATCAAATCTCTTTCCAAAAACCATTTACAAATGAGTATGCTTTTTCTATCATTAACAAAGACACTACAAATCAGTGTAGATTTATTACTAACCTGACTGATGAAAATGGCAATGTCCTCTGTGGCTTTGCAGATACTTCCACAGCTGTGTTTTCAGCTTATCTGTTTAATTGCTTTCCTAGAAAGACAAAATCAATGCAGAAATCAGTGCTAGTGTCAAGTTATTGCCTTAAGACAGCATTATTCTGAAATGGAGTGCAAGGAACATTACTGAAGGGTTGTTTAGGGAATACAGTGAGTTATGACAGCATGTATAAGAAACATCTATGACAGTGTGAGAAATATTATACACCTTGGCCAGAGGCCCCCCTAGATTTTGAGGCCCTAGGCTTCAGCCTACGAAATCTATAGGAAAATCTGGGACTGACATGCATCAGCAACTAGAATTTAAGGTAAGAAAACATAATTTTACTTAATTTAGCTTCACATACTTTTAATTATGTACACCTCGATACACTTACATTATAGAGTTACAGAACTTTTAAAAAACTTATTTGGCTTTTTGAAGTGTCAGGAACATAGCCCTATTTTTTCCATATGTTCTGTAATTTGCTTAATGTGATTTCATGTAACTCATTGGTTTTCTGAAATGTAACTTCATTGTTATTTGATGGTCTACTGCCAATGAGCATCATTCTTTAAACAGTTATTTTTTATTTAAAGCCCATTACCAAGGTGTGGCATGTTATACTAATTAGGAAATATTGTATATACCATTTCTGTCCTCTTAATACTAATGCTTGTGTAGGTTTAAGCCATGGTACCTAGAAGAATGTTCTTCAACTCTGGCAACCACATACAGTTCAGGGACCCCAGGGCTTGACCGTAGTGTTGCCACAGTTGACATGGATGGCAACCTAAGACCCGAACGCATGTGCACCGTTGAGCATACAGGTAAGATACTGCCACAGATGGCATGCAAACATCTAAATAGTATATAAATGTATACAGTGGACCCCTGGTTTACGATATTATTTCATTCCAGAAGTATGTTCAGGTGCCAGTACTGACCGAATTTGTTCCCATAAGGAATATTGTGAATTAGATTAGTCCATTCAGACCCCCAAACATACACATACAAATGCACTTACATAAATACACTTACATAATTGGTCGCATTGGGAGCTGATCGTAAACCGGGGGTCCACTGTATATGTATATTTAAAATGTGCGGGTGTTTTTTTTTAACACACTGGCCATCTCCCACTGAGGCAGGGTGACCCTAAAAAAAAAAAAAAAACTTTCACCATCATTCACACTATCACTGTCTTTTCAGAGGCATGCAGATAAAGCTTAGATGTCACTCCAAACAGCAAATATCCCAGACCCCTCCTTTAAAGTATAGGCATTGTACTTCCCACATCCAGGACTCGAGTCCGGCTAACTGGTTTCCCTGAATCCCTTCACAAAATATTACCCTACTCACACTTCAATAGCTCAAGTCCCTAAACCCACTTGTCTCCACTCCTATATAACATGCTTTTACATGCCTACTGTATGTCCAGCTCCTTGCACACACCTCTTTTACCCTCTCCCTCCCTCCATCCTTTTATTAGGCTGACTCATATATATATATAATATATATATATATATATATATATATATATATATATATATATATATATATATATTATATATATATATATATATTATATATATATATATTTCTTCTTTCAACACACGGCCGTATCCCACTAAGGCAGGGTGGCCCAAAAAGAAAAACGAAGTTTTCTCTTTTAAATTTAGTAATTTATACGGGAGAAGGGGTTACTAGCCCCTTGCTCCCGGCATTTTAGTTGCCTCTTACAACCCGCATGGCTTACAGAGGAAGAATTCTGTTCCACTTCCCCATGGAGATAAGAGGAAATAAACAAGAACAAGAACTAGAAAGAAAATAGAAGAATACCCAGAGGGGTGTGTATATATATGCTTGTACATGTATGTGTAGTGTGACCTAAGTGTAAGTAGAAGTAGCAAGACGTGCCTGAAATCTTGCATGTTTATGAGACCGGAAAAAGGACACCAGCAATCTTACCATCATGTAAAACAATTACAGGTTTTCGTTTTACACTCACTTGGCAGGATGGTAGTACCTCCCTGGGCGGTTGCTGTCTACCAACCTACTACCTAGGATATATATATATATATACGTATGTATATGTATATATATATATATATATATATATATATATATATATATATATATATATATATATATATATATATATATATATATATATATATATATATATATATATATATATATATATATATATATATATATATATATTCTTTCTTCTTTCTTTCAACACACCAGCCGTATCCCACCGAGGCGGGGTGGCCCAAAAGGAAAAACGAAAGTTTCTCCTTTTACATTTAGTAATATATACAGGAGAAGAGGTTACTAGCCCCTTGCTCCGGCATTTTAGTCGCCTCTTACAACACGCATGGCTTACGGAGGAAGAATTCTGTTCCACTTCCCCATGGAGATAAGAGGAAATAAACAAGAATAAGAACTAGAAAGAAAATAGAAGAAAACCCAGAGGGGTGTGCATATATGTGCTTGTACATGTATGTGTAGTGTGACCTAAGTGTAAGTAGAAGTAGCAAGACGTACCTGAAATCTTGCATTTTTATGAGACCGGAAAAAGGACACCAGAAAATTTCCCATCATGTAAAAAATTTACATTTTCTTACACTCATTTGGCAGGATGGTAGAAAACCCCCCTTTGGGGTTGTGTCTCCAACCTACTACCTAGATAAAAATTAAAAAATTTATAAAACTATGTAATATATATAAAAATATTATATATATATAATATTAAAATATATATAATATAATATATATATATATATATAATATATAATGTACAGTGGACCCTCAACCAGCGATTTAATCCTTCCTGAGAGCCACGTTGTAGAATTATTTTATCAAGTTAATTTTCCCCATAAGAAATAAGGGAAATCAAATTAACCCGTGCAAGACACTGAAAAGTTTTGAAAAAAAAAAATTTTTACCACATAAATATTAATTTTAATACACAAAACAAAGTTACTGCACAGTTACATGAATTTTCCTTTTTGAAATCGGGTGATGATTGAGGGGATGGGGGAGGGAGAGGGGGTTATTTTTTAAAGGGGAACCCCCTTCCATTAGCATTTGGGGCCAAGTCTTTTTCGGGGGGTTATTTCCCCTTGTTTTTTTAACCCCTTTTCGGGGCCCGTCCCATAGATCCAGGGTTTCACGTTGAGTGTCCAAACCGAGATCTACGCCAAAATTCTAGCGCCGTAAAATTTTCATAAAAATCTCATAGCCTACTGTGAGAGAAGGGGTCTGCATGGGGGGTGCGCCTAAACAAAAATCGGGGCGCCCGCTAGCATTGGGGAACCCCGGGCTCAGTTACCCTTGTTACTATCCTCCGCAAGTCATCCTCCCCCCGGGAAAATTGGGCTCTCCTCTCCTATCTGATAGTTCTACAGAGGGAAGTGGAAATGAGACAAATTCAGGCTTTGATCAGTTAGTGACCAAAAAAATGACCGGAACGATAAAAGTGCAGAAAACCCTGACACCCAACCTTCTACCTCTGGGTGGCACTCGTGACCCGGTGGGTTGTTCCTCAAGCAAGAGAAAAAAAAATTTTTTGGTGGCCAGGCCTCACTTAGTTGATGATGATAGTACGTGGATTGTGATTTTTAATGCGCCGCGATCATTCGAGAGTGATGGGAGGAATCATATTCACCGGGGGAAGGTCGGTATTTCGCCCCCGCATGCGCTGGGGTTAGTGTACCCATGCAGTGCCCGGGGGGATGGAGACACCCGGAGTACACCGGATACATCCTGTGGCCATACACCTTTTAGGTAGTGATTGTGGGGTGATTTGGTTACACTTGGCGGGAAGACCACCATCAGTGGATGGGGGTAGTGGTGATGGAAGTGGCACCGCCATGCTGATCCCACCCCACGGGGGCCCAGCTGCTGACTGTCATTCAAGGACAAGCGGAGCATCAGCCACCACCCCCCAAACCAAAACCACCCGAAAACCACCTTGATGTCCAGTATCCACCACAAACCGTATGTGGGTTTGGGCCAAAGTCGCAATTTGTTCCCAACCCTACCACTTGATGACTTCAAAGTGAATTTCTACCTCTTTCCCCTGGAAACCAGGGCCAAATGAACGGGAATTTTTGGGAATTATTCTTTGACCAGCCTTTATGGAAACTATTGTCGGGGAAATAATAATATTTTGAGTACACCAGGAAAAATACACTTATCACCACAGTCAAGACTACACGGGTGGAAAGAGACGACTGTTGGAAAATGTTTTGTTTTTTGCAACAAAAATGCTTAGTTCATGTGTATAAGATAATATAAAACAACTGTCCCAGTGGGCTAATTTCTACCCCGGTCTTCATAAATATACCATGAACAGGTATGTTCATTCCCCTGACAAACCGGGCCCTGACAGAAGTGAATTTAACAAGTTTTGAAAGTTTTCATGTATCTCAAACAAAAGTTCAGCATATACTTTTATCCATTCAAAAATTTTTGTAATTGACGAGTCTTTGATTTTGTTAAGGGAGACTGTCATTAAGCAGTTATCCGAGCAAGAGAAACCTTTGGATAAAACTGTTTGTACCTGTGATTGTGCGGGGCCCTGGGTTGGATTTTGTTGTAACATGGGTAGTAAAACTTTGAAAGATGCCAAGATGTTATTGGGTTTCCGGTACGTAGTGAAAACATAGGCCCCTTATCTTGGAAGGGGCATACATTATATACCGATAACTGGACACAACCCCATTACTCATGATTTCATCGAGTGAACAAGACAGATGTGAGTGCCACAGTGCATTCTAATTTTAAAAACATATCCCAGGCTCAACGCAGGTCTCGTGGTGATGATCGGGGTTTACTGCCAAGCATCAGGCTTACGGGGGCATGACAAAAAAGATTCCCATTGTTGACAACCATTTTACCGTAATGAAATCAAGACAGTGGCAAAGTTATCGAGTGACTAATAAAGTATTGAAAAACCATGCTGATTGATTTACCCAAAACATGCGCTTGGTTTACAAATGGACAGCAATTGGTTTTGTTGACTGTGTTCGTAAGAGTTACAAGGGTAATGAAACTTTTCTTCCCTCTCATGGACATTTCAATGCTCAAGCATATAATAGTACCAAAAAAGACTGGGAACGACCATCGTAGGGTTTTGTTTGTCTGTTTTCAACAACTATAATGAATACCAGGGAAAACACCCGCAAAACACCAAGGGGCCCCGAATTACTCAGGGGTATACCCAAGGTTTGAGGGGGAAGGTGATCATTCATAATAAACTTCCTTTAATCAGAAGAAATTTTCTCAGAAGAGATGCATCATTGTGCACAAACAAAACGACGGCAACAAAGACCAAAGACACTCGGGTTTTTTGTGGGAATGAGGTGCCTCTGTCATGGGCCTTTTTCAAGGAGTTCCACAAGCCCAGCAGTTTCCCCAAAAAACCCTTCCATGATTTTAAATTGAAAAAATTATGATGAACATTTGTATTATATAAAATTTGTGATGTTTAGTAAAAAACAAAAATGGTAAACAAAAATATGAAAATAAATTTAGTGCGGGTTTTTGGTTTCAAAACAGTGATTTATTATTTTTTGTATACAGTTTGTCTCTCAGGGCCCCAAAGTTTAAGGGAAAAAAAAAATTGGGGAAAAAAAAGAAAAAAAACTACAAAAAATGAAATAAAATAAAACGCAAGTGGAATTCGTCGATGTTGCCCCACCCCATCATTTTTTACAAACTTCTTGGCACTTATCTCGGTAATATGAACAGAATTTTTTTTTGTCTTATTACCTTCAAAAATATGCTCTTTAATTTTGTAAGAAAAAATAAATTTTTT